ATGTATTTGGACTATCACCCTCGTGGGGTTGCAGTCCCCTGCTCTCAGACAGAGATAAGGAAATAATTTGCTGCAGTGAGGGAGGTAGGAGCTTAGCCCTGCTTGCTGGAAATAACAGGCACTTCAGAGGTAGCAGAATCGAGCCCCTGGTGAATGATGGAGGCCAATTTTGCTCTTTCTATCTTCATTACCTGTAAGGAATCAGGTTGAGGTGATGCACAATCCCAGCAAAAGAGCTGTCATCGAGTTATGCTACAGGATTTGGCACACAAGGGCTTAACCTCACATACACCAAGGAGAGGCGTCTCCAGCACCTAAACTAATCCTGACTACACCGCCTCTGACCCCAGACAGCTGAAGCAGGTAAGGAGCAGGTCCCTGGATGAATGGCGTGTCTCCATTCACTTTGGTCAGGAGGCTACCATAGTGTTCGGGCTACATTCTCAGTGTTTAACCCCTCAAGCCTCATGCTTGGCTTGGTGCAAGAAAGGAAGAAAAGGACATTCAGCTCTGACCTCAAGGAGGAATCTCTGGGCAGGGCTGGCTCCATCCCTGAGCTCAGAACAGAAGCACTTTTTCCACTCCCACCCATGCTGGCTCTGGTGGTCACTTCACGGACATCCACAGGACTGAAAGACACTCAGCCCCAGTAGCTGGCAACCACTTTAGTTCATCATTTTCTGAGAGTTAAGCATCCCTAAAGGAAGGTGACCCAGAACTCTAGGTGTCCTTGACACCCGCTAACACTATAATCTGTAGCAATAAAGCCATTACAACACAAAACTAGGAGCAAATTCCTCCAGCACAGAACCAGTCAGCAAAAAAATGTGAACCCAAAGTCTCCTCTGCAGGTCCCTGCTGCCACAGCCCTCCCCACAGACACGACAAGAGAACCAAAGTGGTTCATTGCAGCAGGCTCAGCTTAGTGATAAACCAAGGGCACCTAAACACTATGTTAATGGGAATCTAATTGGGCATCCAGATCCATGACACAGCTTGGAAAGCTGCGGTGCTGTGGGTGATAACTCTTTTGGCTTGAGGTGCGGCTGGCTGGCACCCAGAGACAGCAAGCGGCTCTGGAAGGGCTCATGGCCAAGCACATCCTTTCCCTGATGGTGTAAACAGATCTTCCCACCACCCTGAGAAGCACCAAGTGTCCCAATCCCACCCAAAGACAACAGGTTCATGGGGATAGGGAGGAAGTCCCAGTCCATGCAGCATCTGGAGCAAACAGCTGTCAGACCTAATGGTCCCACTTCTCTGCAGCGTTTCCCTCTCAGCCCATCCTCTTTCAACCAAGCCCCATCCCACTTCCTATCATTTAACCACCTCCTAGCTTCATTTCTAGTTACTGCCACATTTTGACTGGCAGAGCACAGAGGGTCCTTTCCCCAGGGAGAAGAGAATGTAAATTTGCTCAGCTACCTTAATGGAGAACAAGACTGCCATTCTGGTCTACAAATGGTAGAGGAAATCACTTTACATTTCTCCCCCCTCCAAACTTGCCTGCCTTCTGCCAGTTCCTGAATGTTCATGTTATTTATGACAAATGATTGATGAGGGGATGCTGAATTCACACCCAGCACAGGACATTTTCAAATCACCTATTCATTTTTAAGGACTGGAATCAGTTTTGTATCCTGGTGTGATTCGTCATTTGGAGGTTGAGCAGTGGCTACGCAGGGCCAACTTCCAATCCCTGACAGAGCATCAGCAGGCTAAAGGAGTGATGTGGTGAGTAGTTAACCATTTGAGAAGTGAGCAGAGGATCACAGGACACCAGTATTCAAACTACACTGCTTAAGTTAGAGCCACCAGCATGTCAGGCCATGCTATAGCCCTCCGCTTCAGATTACTCAGACCATGCTGGTCCAAGCTGATAGCCACAGTAATGCTGCTGTATTTAAAAGCAGAACTAGGTTTTTATCTTCTACATAGCCTGGCTATGTGAAAGAGGAATATTTACATAAGATGCTGTCATCATAATGCACCTAAAAGAGATCAGTGGGACATTTCCCCTCCAGCAAGCTTCCAGCCTACATGAGCCTCTCTATCTGTGGCAGAGAGAAATTTCACCATGGGCTCAGGAGAGATCTAGCTGGTTCCTTCCTTCAGATACGTCCATTTCCTCAGGATGCATATGGGAATAAAGAATGATCAGGCACGTGGGTTGGGCCTGATAGCTGGGAGAAGGCAGAGCTTCTCAGATTGGAAGAAGCTACATAAAAAGAGGCAAAATGGGAATGACATCCCCAGCAGACAACCTGTACTTTAGGTTTGATGCCAGTCTGCCAGCAGCTGGCACAACCCACAGAATGACTTAATTCATTGTATCAGCATGGAAAAGCAAATAAACACAAAACAAGTGAGTGAAGCAGCCAGATATAGAGGTGACACCATCACAGTGTTGCCACAGCCCCTTTCTCTTGCTTCAGGAGACGCTATAGCAAGATTCAGCCTCTTTCATGAGCAGGGGAGGTATTCAGAGGACAGATGGCAGAAAGCTGCCATTCAAGTCTACGAGACTTGGGTGTAGTTGTCCTCAGTACTTTTAATATCAGCCCAGCATCTCAGGGAGAAAGGTTTTAAAGCTTAAGGGCATCACAGATTCAAGTTTAGGAAGTTGCCCAAGGAGTGGTAAGGTAGGGAAGGGAGGAAGAGAAGAAGTGCCCATAGCGAATCTACTTGGAGAGTCATATGGAGGTGTCTTCAGATCACTGGTGACTATTGGGATGCAGCCAGTAGCATCTGGGCACTTCAGAGAGACAGTTCAGCCAGTTATGAATGATGCCATGAAGTCCCTTAACTGTCTCTGTATCAAGTGGTTTCCCTCCCTATCTGAGCAGCTCCTTGCCATGCCATTCCCAACAAATGACAATCCCTTCCTCATGTGGGGAGGCTGCAGATGTGCAGATTAGCCCTGTGGCAGCAGCTTCTCCAGCAGATACAGGCAATTCCAATTGCCAGTCCTGCCTTTACACTCCTGGCTTGCTTTAATAGCACAGGGAGCCCTTGGGATCCTGTGCAGTTGTGGAGCCCCACTTCATGAAGTGTAAAACTTCTGCTGATGCCTAGAAAGAGCCAATCACATGGGCTGAGCTGCTCTAGGAACAGTCAGGGCTGCCTTAAGCAGCACTCTCCCAGGATTCTCTGGTGTGTTGTAAGGGTTGAGTACCCAGCAGCTCTTCTTCTTGGTGGGGATGGCTGTTGTTATTGCCCTGCATCCTGTTTCCACAAAAACACTGAGAAGCTGAGTATGCCTGAAGCTCCTATACCTGCAGCCATATATAGTTGGTATTAGCTTGGCGAATCTAAAAACCTGGGAGATTGGGATGGATGTATCCATCACCACGGCGTAAGCTATGTTTCTTAGGAAACCAGACTAGCAGCAGTGCCTGGTATCTCCTTTTAGGAGGAGATGAGCTCTGGATGCAAGAATGGATTTTATAAGCCACTCTATTGCTAGTACACGTGATCCTGCAACAGGGAGAAGAGCAGAACTTTCAGCAGGGGTAGGAAGGGGTAAAGTAAGTGGATGAGAGGGAAAAAGAAGGAACAAAGATGTACACTGTGGTTTTGCATGGTTTGCTTGGTCAGTGCAGAGCAGACATGACAGCCACCTACAACAAAACTCTAATGCTCTACCTTCAGGAACAGCAATAGCCAGGGACGTGGGTACATCCTGCACACTTCCCCCTGCACTGCTCCTCTTATGTTTCTGTGGCTTTGTGTTCACACACCCACATGGGATGGAAGGAGCTCGTGGTATCTGCTGGCAGCCAGGGATGACATTCACATGGCTTGGGCTGTGGTTGAGGCCATCCCTGCTGGGCCTCCTGATGGTTCCTCATCGCGTACCCAGCCAGGTACCCATCTGGTGGCTTACGAGCACATACTGCTCAGAGGCACATGCTCAGTCGTGGCTGGCCAGAAGGGCTGCTTCAAAAGGCTCCCTGGAGCGGAAGAGGTACTGCACCTACAGCACCTCCATACCCAGAGGGCTTTGCTCAGTGGAAATTTTCTACTTGGGAAACTAAAAATAACGTGCCCATCCTGAGAACTGCCTTCTCCAGGGGGCTGGTTTTGTTCCTGCTCTGCTTTGCACTGACAGACAAGAAAAGCTAAATTGTCCTGGCTGTACCTCTCCTGTCCTCTCCACCCCACTGCCCAGTGGGCCAAAGAAGTCTGCTAAAAGCAGTCATGTTTGTTTCTTTCTAAAAAAGGACTTCACAAGGAAATAATAATGCAAGTTTCCTGTGAATAACATTGTAAATATTGTGTGAATAAAATAATCAACAGTTGCTTTTCAGTGCATGGCCTGGGGGCTCTTCAGACCAAGTGTTTCTGCAGCTCCCAATCCCATAGGGTCCAAGCCATAAGTAGAAACTGTCAGAGTCATGGTGCCATCAATCTAAGGTGCTGTGTGCTGGAGAAGAGCCGTGGGACCTGGGGCACCTTCTGTGCCCCTCCCCAGCACTGAAGGCCAGGCCTGGGCATCCAAGTTTCACACCATCAGACCATTGCCATGGAAACCATCTCCAGGTACCTATTTCAGTCCTCCTAGGAAGTGCTGCTCCCCTTCCCTGCCACCACCACACTGGCTCACCCAGGGTAGTGCAATTTGCCTCAGGCATCCTGGTGCCCACGCACTTCCCAAACAGGAGAGGTTCTGTCCACACTTTGCCAGTGGGGACCACAGAGCATCATTATCCTTCTCCCTGAGCTCATGAGTATGGTAATGTTGCTGAACTCTCCAAGGGCACTTCAAGACCTTTGCTCCTAACCAGGGATGGCTATCAAACCTTTGTAGCTCCATCTATCAGCAGGTCAGAGCACCTCTTCCCAAGGGAAGGGAAACGAATCCACCTCTTCTCATTACAACATCACCTTCACACCATGTCCAGCCAGTACAACACACCCTGCCAACAGCACAGTGCCAGCTACGTCCCGCTCTCCCAGCTGTTGTGATACCACGACCCTGCAGCAACGGCCCCACTCACCATCTGGATGACAGACACCGGCCCGATGCTGTTCACGTAGATATCCACATCGATAAAGGTGGGCTTGACTGTGAACAAAATGAAACAGGTAATGGTGAGCTGCGACTGAGATTATTTGTGAAGGGCTGAGGACCAAGGGAGCATTTGGGATCAGCGTGGCTCCATCCCACCAAAAATCCCAACTGCAGCATCCACAAAAGCATGGAAAACACAAGACACAGCTGGGCCAGGTCACTGGGGACACTTTGTCAGGGGACACTTACTGCCAATGTCAGGCCTCAGCTTGTTGTCATAGTTCTTCAGCAGCGAGTTGAGGATCTGTGTGGCATCAGTCTCCTGTGCCTTGGGGGTGAGGACCCAGGTTTTATTGATGCTGAGGTAATCATAATCATATTCCTCTGTGCTCTCACACCTGAAGCAGAGAGACAAAGGAGAGAGAACATCACTGTTGCAGCTCTTTGGTGCTCTGTGGAAGCAGGGGCACAGCTGGGTTTGAGAAACATTAAGGAGGAGGATGCACCACTGATAGAATGCTTAATGTAAGGACCTCAGAGGCTCCTCTCAGCCATTCTGATAAGAAGACACAACTCACCTGGCACCTTTGCTCACTTCAGGGTCCCCAGACATGCAGGGTCAGGACTAGCAGGCATGGGGTGACCCACAGACTCTCCAGCTCTGTTTGGAGACACACTGCCAGTCCCTGCCCTCCCCTGTGGTATTTCTGTCTGTCCCAGCCTGGCCCTCTGCTGCCAGCAGCTCCTGCTCCAAGCTGCCTGTTAACACCATATACCTCAGCTGCTCTGCCTGCACCTCTGATGAACACAATGGTGACCAAACAGCATTTTGGGGGTGCAATGCATTCACAACAAAAGCACTTTAGAGAAAAGAGGTCCTAAAACCACTAAGCATGCAGCATGCCCTCTGGTTTGCCAGGAAACCAGCCATCTGCCCAGCACATATCCTTGGAAATTAAAGCCTTATGCAAACTCCTCTGCCCTCAGGCCAAGACCTGCCACAACCCATTCCCTGTACCCACCAACCCTTCCTCCCCAGCCTTTAATTTAGCACGAGCTCCCATTTAAAGATGCTCCACCTTCCTGATCTTCTAGTTCCAACCCAGCAAGGAAAGCTTGCATCCTCCTTTGAACCACTTAGCAACAGCTTCTCCCACTGCCTTTCACATCTGCCCTCTCTAAAGCTTTTGCACCCTTCCCTTTTCCTAAAGGAGTTTTTAGAATCACAGAATGGTTTGGGTTGGAAAGGATCTTACGACCATTCAGTTCCAAACCCCTGCCATGGGCAGGGACACCTCACACTAAGCCATGTCACCCAAGACTCCATCCAGCCTGGCCTTGAACACTGTCAGGGATGGAGCATTTATCACCTCTTTAAGCAACCAGTACCAGCACCTCATCACCCTCATAGTAAAGAGCTTCTTCCTTATATCTAAACTGAACCTCCTCTGTTTCAGTTTATACCCATCACCCCTTGTCCTATCACTACAGTGCCTGATGAAGAAACTCTCTAATTAAATTAGGTCCACATGGTCACGAGGGGGAATTCTAACCACCTGCTGCTGCTCTGGGCAGCTCATTCATGAGCTTGTCCCCACAATGACACAGCCGTACATGGGAGAGAATGCTGAGCATTCCCACGCCCGGGACACCCCCTCTATGTCTGCCATGTCAGCGTGTCCCCCCCGCTCCAACATCAAAGGGTCTCACAGCAGGAGCTGCCATTGTGTTGACACTTCCCAGCTGGAGCCTCGCAGCTCCAAGGTGCAATGAGGCACCATGGATACACAACCCCCTTCAGCGCCTGGAGGATGCAGAGCCTGGCAAAGGCACTTGAAGGGGGAAAAAGAGCATTAAATTGACACATTGCAGCCTATTTATCAGGTGCTTCTGTTTGAAAACCTCTGCTCAAACTTGCTTTCACAACCGCTTTAAAACTCTTTGCATCTCCCCAGCTTTGAGGTGCCGGGCTGTGTCCCCCGACAAGGTCTGTGCTGCGTGCAGCTGCCTGCCTGCCGCCGCACATTAGGTACTGGTACATCAGCTTGTTGTTTCCTGTCTGATTGCGCTGCACTTTCTAACGATGCTTAAGGAGTCTTAGCAACACTGTCAGGATGCGCTTCCCTATGTGAGCAGTGGCAGCGCGGGCTCGCCTGGCTGTGTGCTGTGTGCTGTGCGCTGTGTGCTGTGTTCGTGTCTTCGGCATGCAGCCGAGCTGATGGCTCCGTGGCATCCAGCAGCAGCAGCAGCAGCAGGAGGCACAGGGGACCATTGCTGCACCCTCCCAGAGATGCAGTCTGGGGCTGGCCCCACTCCTGTGGAGTGCAAACCTGTGTCTGTGCCCACAGTCCAGCTCGGGCCAGAGGAAGCAATCCTAACTGCTTCCCTTTGCTGCCGGTGCTTGGGATGATGCAGATGCCTCTATCAGAGTAGGAATGGCTACATGGAAACCTTGTCTCAGTGTTCCCTTGACCCTACTGAAGCCAGACCAAGACAGGTCACTTGCTGGCACTGAACTCCTCATGTCTCCCTGCACAAACAAAACCCAGGTCCTCCAAGCTCTAAGACCACAGAAGAGTCTGAAACCCCACTGTGGGGATGAACAAACCCAGGCTGCTTACTCTGACCTTGGGCTTCTGTCTTCCCCCGGTTCAGTGTCACTGATTAACACCCTAAGGTTTGGGGTAGCATTTCCAGGGAGTCACATCCCTGTTACAGATGCTGTAACACTACCAAAAATATGCTTTTTGCTAATGCAGCTAATCCTGAGCTACTAAACCATACTAAGCCATCTTAGCATAAGCAAGCCAGCTTTTCCTGGAGAAAACATGCTTTTGCTGGGTGTCAGTGCTCACACAGCCGCACACCAGCTCTTGCTGGTCAGGAGTGTGACTTTTAGGCCACTCTATGCGAGATTCTGCCTCCTCCCCAGTCTCTCTTCCCAGTGGTCCCACTTCAAGAAAGGAAGAGTCCAAGAGCTATTACAGAGGAGAGGAATTAAGGTGACATGTGCGTGTCCCCCCACAGCTGCTAATGGAAATGTCACAGTGCAAACCTGCAGTGATCCCAGCGTGCTCTGAACACTTGCTGGTCCGGCAGCATTGTCTCCTGTCACAAAGTGACTGGCTCTGTGACAGGGAACAGCGAGTTCTCATATGCCTCCATGCAGCCAGGAGGAAAGGCAGACCCACATCTCCTCACCTCCACTGCTGAAACGTCAGAACATCCACCTCACACCTTCAACATCCCCTCCTGCTCAGCCACGGGGCTGGGATGAAGCTATGGGCATGGGGTGGGCAGGACAGAGATGGGACATGGTGAGGAATCCCTTGCTCTGACACACACAGTCAGGGCTGTGGCAGCTCCTGCTGGTGCCCAGAGCAGGAGACCTGCACGGCAGGGAGGTGTCCTTTCAGATGTGCTCACATGTACGGATGAGGTTGGACAACCCTCCTTGGGCAACCCTTGGCATTACAGCAGGACAGTGCCTGCCTCGCCTCCCCCATTCTGCTTTGCTCCAGCAAACACCGGTCTTGCTGAGGTTTCCAAGCACACTGATGGTCAAAGTTAAAGCCCCTTGAAGAGCCGGTGGCTGGCTCCATCCCCTCAGCGCACAGGCTGTCTGACTGGTTTCACTTGGCAGGAAGAGGGGAAGAACAACATTTGACATGAGCCCACTCAGACATACCTGACCAAGATGCATACCCATTACTACCTGCAACCTGGTGCATTAATGAAGTCTAAGACCAGTAAATTAATGGTAAATATCATGGATGCAGACACTGGGCCGTGATTGTCCAGCCCCTCTGCAAACACAGCTCAAAGCCTGCCCTGCTCCAGAGGAACAGACAGCAACAAAATGCAAGAGCAGCTTTTCCATGGTTGAAAAGCACTGGTCAGTCCCAGTTACCACATGCTAACGTGTACTTCCAGCCAGCCATCCCAATGGCTCCAAGGGTTGTAGGCACAGGGATGTTCAGGCAAATAACTCTAAACTAGAAGCAGGCAGAGGATTTAAGGATGGGGGCTCACTAATCTGTACCCTACCCATTTCACATGTTCTTGTACCTCTCCTTTCACAGCATGCTCTATGAAGCCCCAGTGGTCAAGCCTGCACGTTTTGAACCATCTACCAAGCCCAACTTTCTGGTGGTGTGATGCTGTGCAGGGATCCTGCCTTCAGGGCTCAGTTAGGTGCCTTGATCCCAGCAAAGGCAGTGCCCTGGAAATGCTGGTAATCTGGTTCTGTGGTAGGGGGACTGTCCAGGGATGCTGAGTCACCCGGCACAAAGCATCCAGCCCACTCCAGCACCAGGGGATGTGGGGGTCTTGCAGCTGGGTGGGAGAAGAGCTCATACACACATGCAGCATCTGAACCAGGCTCCTCACCCCAGCACCCACCATTAAGTACAGAGCAGGTGAGATTCAGCCCCTGAAGCTATAGCCAGGAAGAATGCAGTGAATGCAGAGTGAGACCCTGACATAACTTGCTCCTTTTCTCCTTCTTCTCCCACAGGCTTGTTCTCCTGCTCCATCACCCCCCCAACATGCACAGACTCTGGCAAAGTGGGGCTCAGGGAAGAGCTACACATGAGGGACTGGACAGAAGGGAAGCCAGGCCAGCCATGGGGTAAATCTTCCTGCTCAAGGGCATGTGAATACATGACTTAACAGCTCCTCCGTGTGATCTTGCAGCTTACCACTCACCCTCTCATAACGCAGTGCTCAGTGTGTTGCAGGGATGGTAGGACACAGGAACGGGGACCACCACAGACCCTCCCTCTAGGTCCTCAATGCCCCCCAGCACCAGCACATTGAGTGTCAGGGCACAAGCCATGGGGCAGCTCTTGCTGCCTCAACCCCAGGAAGGCCAAGCCCCAGATGGACATGCAAGGATGGACATTCTACCTGCATCTGAGGTCGGGTAGCCTTGGCAGAGCAGACTGTTAGTAGCAGGATTCATGCTCCCTGTCCCTGACTGGATTTGTAATGGGATTTGATCGGCTTTAAGGCAGCTTATTCTGCCAATTAGCTTCAACCAGTAAAATCCCTCTCCCCCCCAAGCCCTGGGGGGAACAATCTGCTGACAACATGTTCTTTCCCCATCTAGCCATTTAAACTCACCAGTGGGGATAGGAAATGTAAAAATAAAACAGGGGAAAAGAAACTTGAAAACCCCCTTGTGCGTGGCGCCTTTCATTGCTGTTTACAGGGAAGCACTAGGAACCACGGGCCCTGGGAGAGAGCTGTCACCTGCCTGCCCCACGCTCCGCTGGTGGCATTGGGCTGGCATCGGGATCCTGCCAGCACCCGGAGCTGGGACCTGGGGCCAACCTGTAGAGTGAGGCAGGAGCCCGCGCTGCCCTCCTCCTGCCAGGTTGAGAACCCTGCAGGGTCTTCAGGGGTGCCAGGGGATGGAGTGCAGGGAAAGGGATGCAAGCTCCTTTCCACCCATCCCGACTCTGCATGGAAATAACCCGGTGATGGATGGAGCCCTCAGGAGGTGCTTAGCACCCCCTGGTCCTGCTCTGGGCACCGCCAGAAGGGGCTCAGCCCCCCGGCAGGATTTAGCCAGCGAGGTGATGGCGGGGTGGAAAACGGGATGTCCTCTTGATTCCCGGCATGCGGAGAAGGGGACCTGGGGTACAAAGGACACGCAGGCAGTAGGTGCTGCCGCGAATAGACCTGATCCTGCCTTGGGGCTGGCTGGAATGAGCGGCTGAGGGCACAGGGGTGCCCAAACCCCCGCTGAAACGGGGGTGGGGGGGGTGGGGGGGGTGGCATAAAGGGGGCGTGAGGCCCGATGCTATGTCTCCAATCCCCTCCCCTCCCATTGCCCCGACGGGTAAACTGAGGCTGGAAGGGGCATCCCGGTTGGCGGGGGGGGTCTCACCTGGCTCGCAGGACCGGCCCGAGGGCCAGGCAGAGCAGCAGCACCTTCCCGGGCATCTCGGCGAGGCGAGGACCGGCCCCGGCGGGGGGGGGGGGGGGCGACGGCGGCGGCCGCGCTTCTCCAGCCCCGGCGGGGCTCAGCGCGGGGCCGGGCGGGGGGCGGCGGCGGGACCCCCCCGCTGCCCGCTGCGCCGAGCTCCAGCCCCGCCGCCGCCCGCCCGGCTCCGCGCTCCGAGCCCCGCTCCGCGCCGGCGGGGAGGAAGGGGAAAGTTGGGCATCTCTTCACCGGCGGGGAGGGGCCGGCGCACCGTCCTACCGCCCCGCGCAGGGGCCGGCTCCCCCCGCGCCCCCCCGACGGCCGAGCGCCAGCGGCGGGGGCCGCACGGCGGAGTCAGACCCGCGCATCCGCCGCTGCCGGGGAGCCGGCACCGTCAGCGAGCATCGCCCGCTCCCCCTCTGCGCAACGAGGCGCTTGGTTTCTCTTAATAGTGGCTTTTTTTAATGCACATCAGTGGGTGTTTTTCCCTAAAAAAAAAAAAAAAAAAAAAGGAAAGGAAAGAGTGAGTAATTATTGTTAAAATATGCAAAGCGTCAGCTCCCGCTGGGCTGAGCTGCACAGGGAGACGCAGCAGGGAGCGGGTCCTTTCCCACCTGTTGGGGATGCTGTCCCGCAAGAAAACAGCCGGGACAGAGCATGGGTAGGAGCTGCGGGACAGCCGGGGGCGCGGGTGGGCTCTGGGGTCAGTCTGGAGCGCTCTGCTCTTACGGTTTGTGCCAAGCGTTTCTTTGCACTGCTGGCATCTGGCTTGTCAACAGCAGTAAGAGTCCGTTCTGGCGAGTGTGGGGTGACAGTGGCTTGGAATAAACTTTGTGACAGGTACATGTCCTTCCTCATGTGGTTACACAACGTGAGCTGGAGGAGCCCCTGTTCACGGGGCCTGGTCCTATGCCTCCAGAGGGTTTTGGAGTGCTGGTGACAAATGAGGCTTTGGTGCCATCCCTCTGGACTGGAGTGGGACTGGGAGCAACAGACTTTCTTCCCCATGGCCCTGTCACAGCCTTCCTCATGTGAACATGGACAAATCACTTTCCTGCTCTCCATCTGCAGCACGCTGGTAACCACTGTCCCATTTGCTCAGCTCAGCAGGGTAGGGAGATACCTGTTCCCTCCGCACATTCAGTGCCTAATAGCCAGGGCCAGCCTCGGTGCGGACTAAGAGCGCTGCGGAGTCCAGGCAGCAAATATCGCAGCACACCTTGGTGATTTTTCAAGGCTCTTCCTCCGCAGGCTCTCCCTTGCTGATTCTTGCAATGATCACCTTAAGCCCTCAGGCATGAGATCTGAGCAGCCTCAAAGCCGTGTGAACCAGCTGCAGGAGTTGGAGACAGCATTTCCCTGTAAGAAGCAGCTGCAGATTAGGTTTCTTTACTGCCCGCAAAGAAGGCAGCTCTGGGATGGCTGAGTTCACAGGAAGCACATGTCAAAAGAGTAAATAATGAGTATCAAAGCAGCAATGAAGGTGAAAAGAGCCCTTTAAGCTTCAAAGCAAGCCACCCAATTATCCCAGAAGTTCTTCAGGGATCCAGGTGAAGCTGAAGTTGGGAAAGGTGCAAGAGGAGCCATAGGGAGGGCATAGCTGTCAAGGACTCCGGTCATGAGCAGATCACAGAACATCCAGGGGTTTGTGCATGTGCTCTCAGCTCCCCCTCAAGACACAGAATGTGAAGTGGTATGTGGGGACTGATTTCTTTTGATCACCCCCTCTGCTACCTGAGAACTGAGAGATATGGGGAGGGCTGCTGCTTGGAGAGCTGGAGATGGTCTGAGCAGCATTAGGGAATCACAACACCCATTCATGATGCTGTTCTGGGAGGCACCTTCCAGGCAGTCTTATGCACTAGGAATAGCCAAGCAGCTGTCCTCCCTGGTCTTCTCCTTCATCTACACACTGCTTTTCAAGCAAAACCCATATTAATCAGCATCATAGCCTCAGTCTGGGAGAAACCCATTTCAAATCCATGTTGAATGATTCTGACCAGGAAAAAACACTCTCAGTCCAGATGCCAAGGAGGAGAAGATGTCCTGCACCAGCGTTTGGGGAGGAAACAGCCCCTGTTTTCCACTTTGAAGAGACATCTCTTTTGAGATCTGCTGTCACAGGATGCTTCTAACTTAAACAGGGGATGAAATATTTTATTCGAGGTGCTTTTTGTCCCTTCTGGTATTTCAGTTTAACCAGCAAACTAATAAAACTTGTTATTTACAGAGTCCTCATGAGCTCAGAGCCTGAGGGGGCCACACTGCCACAGTAAATGAGGGTCTGATCGTGAAGTCCTCACCGCAGAATTCAGCCCTGGGACATGATCCCAAACCTTGCAAGGATGGCAGTGCTTTCAGAGGGAGCCCCCCTATAGCCGGAAAGTCCTGTATGAGCCTGGGCACATCTGCAACCCTTTCTGAAAGGGTTCTCTCTCTCCCTGTGAGGCTTCTCTGTGCTCTCTCCAAAGCTCCTTTGCACTCTCAGTCATGAAACCTGCGCTGCCGGCTCCTGTGTTGGTGGCTGGTGAAATGAAGGCAGGAGGCAAAGCTCTGCCTTCCTCTTCCTTGTGCAAGGAGCTGCTGGCTTCTTGCCTCAGGCGATGCCAAAGACAAGGAATGTCCCTCTCTAAGGAGACTGATTTTCTGGGCAATTTGGGAGTGCTGTAATATAGATAGGTAAATAGGAGGGTAAATAGATACAAGTGGAGAAAAGTATTAACCCAGTAAAACTCAGGCTCTTGGCATTCACAAACTCCTCCTTAGACACGTCTTTCAAGGGTGGAGGAGCAAGGACCGGAGGACCCTGGGCAGAGATAGATCCCACAGGGCTCTGCAGAAGCAGATCAGGCTTGAGCGCACTGCTGGCAGAGCTGGGGACGCCAGGACAAGGAGCTGCCAGGGTATCTGCAGGCAGCCCCAGCCAGGGCCATGCAGCAGGCAGCTCTGAAGGGCTGCATGGAGGTGAATTCACCTTCCCCTCCTCCCATCACCGCTCTACGTCATCTGTCTGAGGACAGAGCACCGTTAGAGCCACTGTCCTTGATGCTCACTCTCCTCCTGGCAACGAAGCGGGGCTCGTGCTGTTACACAGCCAGAGCATCCTCCGGGAGCAGCACGGGTTCACAGGCTGAGGATTCCCATGGATCTCCTCCCCCTGCCCAGAAGAGCTGAGGGCTCTGGCAGAAGGTCAGGCTGCGAGTCTCCTACAGCAGCATCCTTGGACTGAGTATGCTGACATGCCTGGGATACAAGTGGTAAAGGACATCCAAGGAGCAGCTGGATACAGGGCCCCTTTGGAAAACTTGGAGAATGAAAAACCCTGTGTAAGCCTCAATCCTTTTCTCTGAACCGGGGCACGTCCTGCATGCGAGAAACATTTGTTTTCTGTACCAGGGCACTTTTTCAGCATAGCCAAGGTTTTGTCTTTTCCAGGCTCACTGGGCAGGCTGAGCACAGCAGCAGATGCTGCATGAATAACTGCTCCAGCTGGACTCTGGCTTCCCACCTTTCAGGACAGCGATGATATATGAAGCAGACAGGACACAGTTTAGTTTTTAGGTGCTGGAGTGAACTTGTGGTGCTGACAGACAAAAAAAGTGTGTTTGAAGCCTGAACAAACATGATGTGAACATTTCCCAAGGAGAATGAAGGGTGTGGGAGGACAGCATGGGCCGCAGCAAGAGCTGGTGCAAACTGTCCCAGAGGGTGACAAGAACGCTGACAGGAGCAAGAGCTTTACTTTCATCCTCTGCTGCTACATCAGGCCAGGCCTGAAGGAGTCTCCACATCCCTTCCACTGTGGATAGTCCCTCTTCAGAAGTGGTTGCTTGGTGGGAAAGGATCACCAGGCTGATAGGTGAGCTGATCCTGTATGTCAGAGTGGTTCTTGCTGTCATCCTGGCTACGGAAAAGATGCCATTTCCCATGATTTTATGGTTCTGATCTTCTGGCACTTTCCCCAGGTTGGGGTTTAACATGTAATATTCCTCCTAGAGATCAATACATGAAAAAAGAAAACATACGTAGGGACTGTAATGATAGGACGGGGGTAACAGGTTAATCTTAAACAGGGGAAGTTTAGATTGGATATAAGGAAGAAGTTCTTTATTGTGAAGGTGGTGAGGCACTGGAATGGGTTGCCCAGGGAAGCTGTGAATTCTCCATCCCTGGCGGTGTTCAAGGCCAGGTTGGACAGAGCCTTGGGTGCCCTGGTTTAGTGTGAGGTGTCCCTGCCCATGGCAGGGGGTTGGAACTGGGTGATCTTAAGGTCCTTTCCAACCCAAACTGCTCAATGATTCTATGATTCTATGAAAAGGTTGGGGAGGGGAAGAGAATTAGCAGCATTTGACAAAAAAATGGGAAAATCTCAGCAAATTGAACACCAGGTGTTTCAATACTATTTCAAATGGGATTCACAGCTATGCCATCTGATGTCATCCATCCAGTACAGGACCACGAGCTGGCAGTTTGGTGTGTCATCCCCAGAATAACTCCCAGGCAGTACATCCATATTTTAAATACCAGTTAACTGCTGACACAAACTTTGGGGACATGCAGCTGCGGGAACAGGAGCAGCTGCTTCTCTTCACTGTAGAAATGTGGCTGCTTCTGGATGGAGACGCACTAGCTCCTCATCAACCCACGCCACGGTGGTTCATGGGAGAGGAAAAGGAGACAGGAAGGTCATGGAGGCAACAAAAGCTGTCATTGGGATGCAAACTATACTTCAAACAGTGATTCCTTCCAGAGGTGACCAATAGCTTGGAAAAATGGTCTCAGGGCTCTCCAGAGGACCTGCAGGATTCAGAGCAGAGCCTACACCTGCAGAAGATGGTGCTCACAGCCAAAAACCCCATGGATGGACCTGCCTGACCCTTTCCATACTGCAGCTCTGAATGCACAGATGAGGGCACATCACCACCCACTGGCATCCCTAGCAGGATGTAAGAGACCGAGAGAGGGAGGCACAGTTGCTTTGTACTGTTATACCCATAGGCATTTTTGTCCAGAGATGTGGCGTTGCTCTCTACACTGGCTGGGGAATGTTTATACACCAGTAAATAATGGCAACTGCCCATCTGTGGCCACGTTTAGCTGTTGCAATTAAACTGTTTCCAGCAGCGGATCTGCACCCTTCCTGTCCCACCTCTGCCTGGTGGTTTGGTGTTTGTCTGCCTGAGGATAACATAGAGCAGTTGGCAAGTGGAGAAACCTATGAAAGAAGCTTTCCTCCCACAGCATCCCTCCTGTGGCAGGTACCAGATGATCTGGGATTACACAAACTGTGTTGTTTTTCTGTTACGGGACTGACTCTGAAGCCCCAGGACAGATACCTGCAGCAAGCCCATATTCTCACAACTCCTTCCTTCTTGGAAGCTATAAGGCATTTCCAGGATCTCTGCTTTCCTC